GTGACTCAGACAGTCTTACCGGGGAAAGTTTCTGAATGAGGTCATGGGCCACGTGCACCAAATTCTTATCTTCTCTCATGTGCTTCTGGAAACGTCGATTTTCCTCCTCCTCCAGCAGGTCGAAGTCGTTGGCAGCATCGAGCAAGGCCTGGATGAGGCCCTTCCAGGAGCGGAGAGCAGGAACCTGCGGGGCCACCGCAGAGCTCACTCCCGTCCCGATCACCAGCACGAGCTCAGGGGCTCGCTTCGTCTTCAGGCTGGGCAGCAGTTTCCTTGGGGGCGGGCAGAGATTGAGCAATCGCGTTTCCACCAACGGTTAAACATGCACGCAGCAGCTGCRCCCGAGCTTACCTGGGCTTTTTGGCATTTGAATCTGCATCCTGAGAATCAGCTGCAGGTCGCTTCTCAGTTTTCACGGTTGCCACCGAGGCCATTCAGCTCCTGCAACAAACAACCACAAGCAACCTCAGAAGAACCTGGGTGGTCAACGCAGCTAAATATACATATTAAACCCCCACATGCACCTGCTGGTTGAGTCATTTAGGAAGTTTTACTAGATAACTTTATTAGGTAGATTTTATGGCTGATGTGTCACTTCCTCTGTCTTGTTGTCCACACCCAACAAACAGAAGAYGTTTTGTTTCTTTTGCAACAAAATTAAACTGCTGACACATGGTGACAGGTGCTTCAAAGGAGACCACAAGCACCATCACTCTGAACAGATGAACCTGAGTGACTAGACAGTTAATATATAGAGATAAACCTATTTTACCTGAGCATATTTTATCATTACCAGTAGGAAAACGATGCACCAGCTGTTACAACCAGTAAGCCACAACTTTGTTTTATTTTAAGCAAGAATGCTCRTCTGTATGCTATTTTTCAGAGTTGAAGTTCTTTAAAAAGTTGTTAAATATACATTTATTTAAGTTAAGCAATTATTGTTACTAAGGCAAACAAAAAACACATATTTGGCAAAAAAAATATGTGCCTTGATTTCTAAAGGTGGGCACTGGTTTCAAAGATAACTCTTTAAACAACGTGTACAGTAAAATACTATTTGCATTTTTAGGACCCTTGGCACATGTAAGGATCAGTAGCCAGTGATGGATTAGGGGCTAGGTTTTGGTTTAGGTCAAGAGTTTAGGCTCCAGAAAATGATAAAAGTCAAGACATTGCATACAAATAGTGTGTGTTMAACTTCCATGGAGAGACCAGCAACTGGTGACAATACAAAGATGTTCACAGACACAACTTAACCTACACAATACTGAGTTTACTTACCTTTAATATCCAGTGTTTACTGTAGTGGTAGTGTTTATCCTTTAATTCGAAGTCAGCGAAAAATAAAGTAGGACGTTACTTCACTTTAGTAGTCACCTGGGATAAACTTTGAGCCTTATAGTCTTTTTTTTTTAAATAAAGTTATTTTAGTAAATTCGACCCAGTGAGTTACTAACTCCGTYTACATAAGAAACTGGTTGAAAGGGGTTCCAAGAACGGTTGTCGAACGCAAAAAAAGTCACTTACTTTTAATGCACATGCTGTAAAAGAGTCCACAGCAGTTCACACATGTTAATAAAAGTATTTAGTGTTGAAACTCATTCCTAACAACCCTCCTGCACCTGAGACCGTGACTGAAACCTGCTGCTCTTAAATCCACTCAGTCTGATTAGAGACGCACACAAAGTCGCCGCCTGCTGCGGGATGATGCATTCAAGTGCTATAAAAACGGCTCGGAAATTTATATTACTAGTATTGACGGTTGTTATAACGTCGCCAAAATAAACCCATATTGGCATTGTTTCTCAATTAAATAAAGGACACACATAAAACTCACTCACTTTTAACGTAAGTGGGTTGTTTCAATGCTAGGATTTTGTTTTCAAGACAATATTTTGATGAACAGTGATTGCTGTAAATTAAAAGAAAAAAAAACACAACATGATTTTATAGACCTTACCTCCGCACAATACGCTACATTTAGGATTTTCACTGCATCACATACTTAGTTTAAAATTATGGTTTTAAGATAACAAAAGTAAGAAGGGGACATTTACAAACTGCCTCTGAATGCAGCAGAAGCCCCTTGTAAGGTATAAAACATAACTGCACGTTTTAAGGCAAATAAATAATTACTTGTTTTAGTTTGTACTCTAGGATATTTGGTTCCCTTCAGAAGCAAATAGGCCAACATAAAGCAAAAACAAAACWATCTCTGTTTTCATGGCAGCATGAGTCGTGGAACAACAAAAGTAACCCGATTTCAAGTCTGACTTTTATTGTATCAGGTGATTAGTTTTCATGTAAAAGGAATAATTTTGATTTTGAGTGAAAAGTAATTTTGATGTCGTTTGCACTTGTTTTTTTTATGACTTTCTAAAGAGGACACGTCAGCAGATTTTAATCTGCAGTAAAAACCGCAAGACTGCCATCTTCTGTTGGAGGCAGGGATGGAAACTGATGTACAAGTTAAACTCTAAACAAAATAAATGAGTAATAACTGAGTCAGCAACAATGACTCATCACTATTGTTTTCTTGCTTATAGTTTCTGGTGTTTACTTTGCAAACAAAATAATTCTGCACTTTGTGTTATTTTACTCATTCAATATTTCATCTCAGCCAGGATTAATGAGCTATGATTTTTATTTGTAACTTCACCACTTTTTATTTTACAAATAAATCCCCCAAAAGATTACATGGGCATTGCTTCARTTTTTTCAAAAACATTATTCTCTAAAAACTACTTCAGTATCTTTGCTGTAATTGTCTTCATATGCCTTTTTTAGCAACTGTTTTTTTTTTTATGTATTTTAGCAATGGAGTTGGTAATTTTAGCTTTCAGCTATGATTCAGTTTATTTTAGCCAGTGTTTACTCATTTTTGATTTTAACTACCATTTGTAGTTTTGGATCTTAAACAGCTATAGCAGATTTTACCTTTTAGCTTAAGCCGTTTAGCTTTGAGCTACCATTTTGATATTATAGCTCAAAGCTATCTTATTTTAGCTTTTAAGCAAACATTTCTTAATTTTGCTTTTAGCAACAGTTTTAATTATCTTAACTCCTGTTAATTGAATACATTTTACATAAATGCAACTAACAATATMAAGTTATTTTAACTATAAAACTAAGAAATATGAGCAGTTTTTAAACAGCTGAAATCTGCACAAAAACTTTTTTCAAWGCATCAGACAAAATCCTTCTCACTTTGTGCCTGAAGTATTTATGACGACACTGCAGAACAGTTTACAGCCACATTCAAGACAATTTCKTACGTTACAGCAAAGGAAATCAGTTGTTTTAATTTCTCACCAAATTAAAAAATATTTTCCAATCCACACACTGATGCATTTAAAGATGCAAACATTAAAAGGCGAACAGCAGCATTCAAAGAAACCGTTCCAGTCGAACAATTGACCTCAAATCATCTGCTGACAGAACGTTACATCTCAAAGATTTCCTGAGTCAGCAGAAAAGGTCCTGTGTTCCTGCTGGAAGAGTAGACAAGGCATGTTTTGGTCACAAAAGACTTTAAATCAATGCCGTTGTTCACAAGTGATTCCAGTTTGTGGTTTAGATACAAAACTTGTGAGAGGTTGTTTAAAGGTCAAATCTTAAGAAGGAAAAACCCCCCAACAGTGCAGAATAATCATGATAATCACACTTTCCCTTTTTAAATGCAGATTTATTTTCTGGCGGTCTGAAGAGGTGTAACGATATCAAAACTAATGTATCAAAATGTTTCTTTTAGTGGTCTGTTGAAGGAAATAACTTATTGCAACTAATGTTTATTGAAGATTAGCAAATCATTAACTTATTTGTCTTCAACTTATATTATGGCTTTAAGATCTCAAAACTCTGTGTTTGGATTAAAACCCATTTTCTTATTATCCGTAATCCCTCAAAGGACTTGTACAGAAAACTGATCAAAGACAAATTTAAAGGAAATAAATGTGCGACTACTTTAAAAGACACAGAAGCTCTATACAGAGATGGAACCCTCTCTGAAGTTGGTCTTCCCGATCAGAACATTGAGGAGTGTAGATTTGCCCTCTTTGGTCTCCTTCTGAACCTTTCTGATGATGTCACTTAGCTGGTCCCCGTCGTCTCGTCCTACAAGGTAGCCCTTTCCACCGTAACCATCTGCCACTACGTGATAATCTGCAAAAATCAGAAATAAATACAATCAAGATACATTTACGAGGTCTAATACTTCTCTCTGTGATTGGAAATATAATCTATAAGCAACGACAACAGTTTGTGGCTGAAAGCGTACCTGTGAATAAAAGGCCACATGCCACGTTGCTGCCGAGGATAGGAACCTGCTCTCGAGATATCTGACTCCAACACGCGTCGTTTCCCACCACAGCTATGACTGGTGTCTGAGTGATTTAAAAAAATTAAATAAAAATAAAACAACTTGCAGAATATCAGGAGTTGTTAGTGTGTTCTGTCTCCAAATACAAATTCAGACTGATCACATTATTATTATCATCATCATCATCATCATTATTAATAATAATAATAATAATAATAATAATAATAATAATAATAATAATATTATTATTATTATCATCGTCTCATTCATGCATGTTTGAGAAATCCTTGAATCGCCTGTGGTAGCCATGTGGAGCTGCCTAAACATTTGCTGGTACAAAGCTCCGCCTACTTACGCAAAGCTCCTCCTTTTAGCTCAGTTCCCACACAATTTGTTTATGATCTAACGTTTTCATAACAACTGAAGGTAATAGAGTTACTTGATTGCAGTGTTGTATAAAAGTACCACAAAGTGATATTTGAGTAAAAGTACAAAAATTACTTTGGTAAAATTTAAAGTCTCCACTAGGAAYATTACTTGAGTAAAAGTCTTCAAGTATATGATATTTTTTGTGCTTCAGTATTAAAAGTAAAAGTATTGATTTAAAATGAGCTGTTAGATTTTCTGTAAGGACATTTATTAGGAGGTGATCTGCCCCAAAATATGCAAAAATGTTGTGTTAAAATAACTACTTCTTCTACTTCTTTCCTTTTTTAGAAATGTAAGGAGTAGAAGTAAAAAGTAGGCTGAAAAATAATTACTCAAGTAAAGTACAAATAGTGCTGATTCTATACAGCACTTTGGTCTACTATGGTGCAAAAAGTGCTTTACAAATAAAGTTGGATTGGATTGGATACAAATACCCATTGGTGGGCACCGGTCCGCTAAAGCGCAAATCTGCTAATTGTGGACATAATGTGTCATTTGCGTTTTAGCGGTCTTACTAATTCTTATAATTCATAAGTGGATTTGCACTTTCTAAAATTAAAATGCAGTACCGCTAATAACTAACCATCTACCAGTTATCACTATCTTGAATATCGGAAAGTATGGTTTATCATCATTTAAAACAGGGGCCACACGTTATCTGACATTACAGTAAAGAAATTCCCTTAAAGAGTTTATTATTTTCTTGAACAGCAGAGAGGGCTTGCTGTTWGTGACCTACACCATGACAAAATGATAAAATAACACAAAGCYTTATCCTGAGACTAACTGTTCTGCGTATAAAATTTTGGTTTTAAATAAAACGAATAAACAATTTAAACTAAACTAAAAATTAAGAGACACCTCCCACAATGCTTGGTGTGGTGGTGGGACGCATTGCAGGAACCTCCCCCGCCCTTCTCCAGCGGCGCGCCTGCTGTCTGTGGTTCAGGTTCTGATCTGAGATTCAGCTGAAGTGTGTCTCCAGGTTCCAACCACACATGAAACGCTCAATCCTGCATTTTATTGATGGTTCCGGCCCGGGTAGAAGCAGCACATTTGACGTCAGGCGGTTGGGAAAAAAAAGTTGCTTCTTCCAGCTGAT